GTAGCTGAGAACATTTACCTTGTCAAAATCTGGACACTGGGTTGCATCCTGAAGTACCTGCTATTTTTTTAGATTTTAAATCTTTAATTCTGGGGGAGTTAAAAATGGAGTGCTTCAAACCCTAACAACAAACTCACAAGTGGAAAGCAATCCCACCACTATGAGACCCACTGGAGAGTGGTAGGCCAATTGCTTTACACAGTAGCTCATTCTACATTTAGGAGATAAACGTTTGAGTGAGTGATTGGACTATATGTAGCCAGTAGAGAAAAATCAATTAAAATACCAAGCAGCTCAGAAAAAGGAGCTTTAATTACCCCATAGGAAAGCCTTAAAGGAGCAGTTATCCACCCGCCTTGTGATATGGGTGGAAGTTCTGCAAATTGAATGGTACACCAGTATTCACAAAGATTACAGGTTAACTGCAAATTAACAGAAGGCATTTTTCTGATTCCTTGCAGTTTCACTGAGATGAGGAATGCTGAGGCATTGTCCTCACTAAGTCGGAGGCCATCCCTACCAGAATCCAGAAGCAAGTAAGCAGATCTTGAACGCTAAAGCAAACTGCTTGCAGTCCCTGTATACAGCTATTGCTGCAGGCAGTCTTTGTGTTGTGGGAAACTGTTCATCTAGATCAGCCTGGCCTTATAGGAGATAAGAGATTCAATAACAGAATAAGTCTTTGACAAATACAGAGTAGGTGGCATCCAGGGGGAAAGGAGTGCGTTGTTGTGCTGTTAAAGGAGACCTGCAGTTTGAAAGAAGCTGATGGTGAGAGTTACAGTATGACCTTAGCACAAGAAAGGCATCGCTGGGTACCCCTGGGGAAAAAATAAAAATAAATCACAGTTTCCACAATGTCTTTATCCCCACCTCTCATTTCCCCCTTCCGTCTAACCCCGCTGCAAATGATGGGAGTCAGTAGTGCAACCTGCTTCCTCTTCAGTGGCTTACTATCTAGGAAATGAGTCCCAGGTATCCAGATCATAGCCAGCACCTTAATTGTCAGCCAAGAAACCGAGGATTATGTGGGCACAGAAGACACACTATCCTCTCATTTGTAGAGGTGGGCCCTTCAGCCCATGGTTCAGGCACATGGGAGGGGTAATATGTAGAAGATTGCTCTATTGTTAGCTAGCCTGCACCTGTGCTGTGAATAGAGCGAATTTAAAATTTTTGCTCAAAATATTTTCTCAACAAAAAACATCACTTTTGTCAAAATGGAAGTTTTCATAGGAAATATCCCAAAAGAAATCAAACATGAAAACTGAAATTTTTTTGAAAAATTCTTGTAAATTGTAACTGGTCAGATGAAAATTTCCAAAAAAACCCCCCAATTTTTGCCCCCAAACTATTTTGTTTTCATCAGTTTTTCATAGGAAAAACCCCATTTCATGAGCACCATCATATGAGACTAAATTGAGGTTTTTGTTCTTCTGGACTGTCAGTTGGTCAATTTTCACAAGAATCAAATTCAAAAATGAGAAAAATCACAAAAATCTAATAAAATGAAGACAGCTGCCTGAGCATGTGATGTCATCGATGGTGACAAAAAATTCAGGGATCAGGATAGAGGCAAAAAGTGGTGGCCTTCTACTAAAGCAATGGTTCCCTTAAATGGTTTTAATAAAGCAACCCATTAGCTGCATTTTGTCTTTTTCTGTTACCCATCCAGGGGCCAAATTTGGAGGGGAACAATTTCATAAGCTACTGTCCTCCGCCTCCACTGTCTCCTCCTTGCCCCACTGAGGGGACAATGACCACCTACAGCAGCACCCTCCACCCCACCACAACAACTCTAAAGGCCCACAGGGTACGTCCTGATGAGCAGCCAAGCCAAACCTGCAGTACCACTGTGTAGGTCACTATGCCCAGAGAAGGGAGCTGGGCCCAGTCCTTCAGGACAGGAGTTGTCGCTGTGGGGAGAATGCAGAGCATGCTTGCTCTCCAGCCCCCTCTCAGGGTATGTCTACACAGTAAAGAAAATCCTGTGCCAGCCTACTTAGCCTCACAGGGCTTGGGCTTCAGGGATGTTTCATTGCTGTATAGACTTCCTGAGTTGGGCTGGAGCCTGGGGCCTAGGATCTTGCTAGCATGGGCCAGCTGTGGGTATCTAGTTGCTGTGCAAATGTACTGTCAGGGGCTTCCCCTCCACACTGGCCCTGTAAGTCATCTAGAACCTTCCCACAACCCACTAGTCGGTCAGGACTGTGGGAGACACTGTACTAAAGAATGATTCACTATCCAAAAATATTGATGTGTAAATTAACCTTAATAGGGTTCAGAATTAACATCATATTAAGCTGATTGTGATAAGGGTAACACACCTCTCCCTGACTGCTATTTTTTCAATATCTGTCTCAAACTTAATAAGATCTCATATTATCTTTCAAAACCCAGAAGATATGTTTGTGAAGATAAGCTTAAGGGCTCCATTTTATTTTGTTCTTTAAATCTTTATTTAAGTTGAAACTTATGGCACCACCAAACAGTATCAGTTTAATTCAACCCCTACTAAAAATAGTATGCTATGCCCCCAAAATTACCATGCTAGAAAATGTCCCTCTGTCAGACACACAGTTCGATGGGAGATATGGAGATTTCCTGCATGACACCATCAGGTGTTTTTTGTTAGACCATTAGATTCTAATAATGCATAGTTGCTCCTTTCTCCAAGCCTTCTGTAAGTGGTTTTGGAAACAAACTACCCAGAATGGAACAAAATTAAACTGCCTGACTGCAGCAGAGTTCAAAATTCAGCAATGAAAAAAGGCAAGAAATACCTTCTGCCTTCAGGGGAACAATGAAGCTACAAATTCCAAGGAATTTGTACAGTCTAAGCAGCTGGGGCAGGTACATGCTATGCTGCTTCTCTCAGTAGGAGCTGAGGAAAAGAAAGCATTGGAAGGGGTAGAGAGGGTACGACAGGGAGACGGGATGCAAAGAGGTGGAGAGAGATACTAATGATAGACTACCTGAGCTTGTCTCTACAGCTCCACAGTCTGGACTATGCAGGCGTGATTTGTAGAGCTCTCTAACTGCCTAGTGTGGAGCCTCTCAATTCTTTGGATTTGCCAAACAAACGCCATCCATTCTGTTACCATGGAAACTTTGGGTCCTGCTATAAATCTTACACACTCTGATATGTTTACTTGCAGTATATCATTCAGCAACTACATGTCCCTGTGTGCTGTATAGAGTACTTGGCAGGGTATGGTCTTTGGTCAACAAATCAGATTGTGTTGGAACTTGAGCTGTGTGGAAGTCTTCAACCCTCCCCACCCCATCCATCTGTATTTGTTTTCTTCCTTCTGTTTGACTCTGTAATTCCATATATCATAATGTATAGTACAGTGCACTGCTGAATCAGTCCTAGGGACATGCAGTGTGCTTGAAAATGGTGTCCCCTTGGTCTTTGGAGCCTTTCCTGCAGTCAAAGCACTGGAGCTGGAAACGGTGACAGAGATGAGCAGCTGAAGCCTCTTGATAGGCAGAGGGAAGGTGGAAACTGAAGAAATCAGCATACGATAGGCCATCCTTGCTTTTCCTATGCACAAGACCAGCCTGTCGCAATAATCACAGATGGCATGACACCTAGCAGATTATGCATGTTGCTACCAGAGGCTCAGACATGAAAGGGATCAACCAAGGGCATCATTTTTTTTCCCTTGGAAAAGTTTTAAGTTTCTTTTTGAGGGAAGCAGCAATCCTTGAAAATGGCATTAGAGTACATCGTCTCCCTGAAGGCTACTGCACCGTGCTGCTGCAAATCACTCTAAACCACATGGCAGTACACTGTCTCCAAGCTCCGAAACCAGAACAAAGCATGCCCTTCCCTAAAATAGCCAATTTACACATTAGCACTGACCCGATTCAGTGGCTATTAAGTGAAATAGAGTCACAAGCAGGTTAATAAGTCAGCCCAAACAAGTGTAAAGAGATTTCAAGTGGCAGAAAAGGGCATTCTGTGAGATAACCTTAGCCAGGTAGGTGAGGCTCCTTAGCATTCCACCCCTCCCAGGATTGTAGAGGTGTTCCCTTATCTAGAGTATCATAGAAATGTAGGGTTGGAAATGACCTCGAGAGCTCATCAAGTCCAGCCCCCTGTGCTGAGGCAGGACCAGGTAAATACACATCATCCCCCTCCAATGATGGGGATTCCACAGCCTTCTTTGGAAGCTTATTCCAGACCTTCACAACCCTTATAGTGAGAAAGTTTTTCATAATATCTAACTTAAATCTCCACTGCTGCAGATTAAGCCCATTACTTGTTCTCCTACCATCAGTGGTTATGGAGAACAGTTTATCACAATCTTCTTTATAACAGTCCTTAACATATTTGAAGACTATTATCAGGTTCCCCCTTAGTCTTCTTTTCTCAAGCCTAAACATGTCCAGTTTTTTTAAACTTTCCTCATAGGTTAGGTTTTCATTTTTGTAACCCTCCTCTGGGCTCTCTCTAAGGAAAGAAATTAGGTTGGTTTGGCATGAATACTTCTCAGGGACAATGAAAAGTTAAATAAACATATGGGGGACCTAGGCTTGCACTCAGCCAAACATGGTTTTCAGTCTGCTAAGTGACTAGTATGCAGAACTTAATCCTCTGGTTTAAGAATTGCTCATCTGCACAGGGGTGTGTCACAGGGAGGGCTTTTTCCTCCTTAACTTGGTGTGCCAACCCTGTAGTTTCACAATATTTTAAGGCCCTAGCTCCTGGAGTCAGGTGATTACGTGAGCATCTCCGCTTTCAGATTGGCAGAGAAAAAACTTGAAAACATGACTCAGTGTATCCTAAAGGCTCAGAGACCAGAAGGCACCAAAAGAGAACATAACATGTACTGTTTTGTTTAAAATTTCATGATTTTTTGAGGGCTGACTCATGGTTTGTTTATTTTTATGCTTAGAGATTCACAATATTTCCATTCCAAAATAAAGCCATCCCCTTCTGGGGTGTAAGCATAGCTTCCAAATAAAGAATGCTCTTCTTCCTCTGCGCTTCAGATCCATGAGATAAATAAAATCACTGTCTTTCTCACTCTCACCTTAGCTGCTGCTTCTTACTGGCTGGTACATCAAGCAGTGGGCCCTGCTTGCCTGATGACTTCCAGATGCCTTGCCCTCTCCTGCCTGGCCCCTGCCAACAAGAACAGGAGAGGGAGTGGTTTGTAAGCAGGATTTTTCTTGAGTGGGCCCCAGTGCATAGACTCCTTTAGAGATCCTGACAGGCAGTATGTCCCATCACTGTGCAGCAGGGATATAGCTCAAGTACAGAAACACCTGACCCTCTTGTGAATAATTTTGTATCAAATGCTTGGTAAGGACTGAACAGGCCTTGGGATCATCACTGGTTATCACCACTTATTGATCATATTGACCACTTCTTGTTTTTGTACAAAGAAGACAGGTGAAAGTATGCTGAAGCTAGCCCTTCCTTTATTCATTAGTGCATAAAAACAAAGATTTTCTATGGGAGTAAAAGTGAAAGTCATCTCTCTGGATGCTTGTAAAGAATCCAAAATAAAATAATCCCAATTCTCATCCAAAGCTAATAGAGAAAACATCAATATGGAATGAGGGAGCATCAGAATAGAACTTTGGATCAATTAATAACCAGATCATTACTGCTTATTTATCCCTTATTAACTCTGGACTTCACCATCTGATTTAATTTTAATATTGTCTTAATAAGCATACGTGAAAAGTTATTTAATCTGCCCATGAAACATATTAGACATGGGGTTGAATTAATGGTATAAAGAATTCTTCCCATTTAAAATCAAACTGCGCTATGGAAGACCACCACCATCCATGAGAATTAACATGCCAAAGCATAGGTCATTAAGACAATCACAAACAGCACGCAGCTCTTTGGGGGCTGCGAATGTTTACTGGAGGTGAGAATGGTTGAACTAGAACTGCACCCATTACTACAATGTGTGAATGGAATTGAGGAAAGGCAATGTCGGCATTAATGTCACTCCGGTGTGTGAATAAATCACCTCCCTGAGTGACGTAAGTTACACCAACATAAGCGCCATTGTAGACATTGCCTCTCCTATCAGGTGTGTTGCATGCAGGGCTGTGCGATCCTATGGATGTATTGGAAATGCCAAATAACCATGGATAAGAATGGAGTTAAGGTACCAATATGGTTGAACTCAGGGCTGGATATCAGTCAGGATCGGTCACTGATTCCCTCTGTGGCCTTAAACAAGTCACTTAACATCTCTATGATTTGGTTGTAAGATGAGAAGGGACATAAAATACTAAGGATTCATTGGTGACAGACATTCAAACTGGGTTTGCCTGGGAATGGATCAGGCAGAAGCCAATGTATTGTTTAATTGTACCACCCAGCCTGTGCCCTACCTTCCATCTTCAGCTGGTAACTACACTTTTCTGACTTTGTGGGTACTAATATAGTATTTGGTTCTGTGGAACACTGGTCCAACTCTTATGGAGAGAGGGGGCTGTAGTGTTTTGGTGGCCTCCACTTCAGTAAAAGGAGGACCAATCTTCTCAGGGACAGGAAATGTAGACTAATCAGGAGGGTGTTTAATAAAGAGGGTAAAAATAGGGATGATTTGAGCACTCAGCACAAAATGGAGCTGTTGAGAAGAAAATTAATCAAGGAATCAAAGGACGTGAAGAGAAGATATTCTTTAATTGCTAGCAGCCTGGTAACAAACCAGAGGAATTGAAATTGCTCATTTATAAGTGTAAATTTAATCTAGGTGAAAACTGGTGCGGTGGTTCCCATAATAGGAATGTTAAAATCAGTGATTATAACCTATTTAGGAAGGATTGAGTGGGCAAAAAGGGAATGGGAGTAGCACGCTATGTCAAAAATGGCATTACTTGTTTCCGAATCACTGATTACTCAGAAGAAAATGATCTTGAATGTTTATGGATCAGCATCATAACAGATAAAGCACATGATGGAGTATTAGTTGGTGTATGCTACAGACCACCAATTAACAATTGGGAACAGGATGACCGATTCTTTATGTACCTATCTATAATGTGTAATGTTGGGGAGGAAATCTGCATGATCATGAGGGATTTCAATTTGAGTGACACATGCTGGAGGTCGGATGCTGTGAGGTCTAAAACGTCCAGGGAATTTCTAAATATTATAGATGGTAATTTCCTACCCCATGATGGATCCACCATATTTTTGAGGAAATTCTACATTAGACCTCATCTTGACAGAAAGAAGAATTTATTACAGAACTAAAAATTAATGGTATTTAAGTGCAAGTAATCATGATTTGATCACATTTATAATGTGTAAACAGAATGAAGTCCAGACATATATATATATATACACACATACACACTTACACTTCTTGAAAAGGGCCAGTCTCACAAAGCTGAAAATAATTATGACCCAGATCTGCTGGGAGGAAGAATGTAAACAGAAAAATCTGAATGATATTTGGGAATTGTTTAAGAACATTTTACTAGATGCCCAAAAAGCCATAATCCCACAGTCAAGGAAAACGGCTGTATTGGTTTAAAAAGTGAAGGTAGCTATAAAAAATGCCAAATAACAAATGGAAGAAAGGGGAAGTTGTAAGTAATGAATATAAATCAGGAGCTACAAATTGTAGAAAACTGATAAGGGAAGCAAGAGGATACAAGGAGAACTCTATGGCCAGCAGCATTAAGACAATAAGTGAGTTCAAGTATATTAGGAACAAAAAGAATCCAAACAATAGTATTGGTAGAATTAATAATATTGGAGAAAAGATATCAAATTAACATAGCACACATTAAATGGATTAAAAACTGGATAACTGTTAGGTCTCAAAATGTATTTGTAATCAGGGAACCATAATCTAATAGGTGTTTCTAGTGGTTCTTGGCCCTACACTATTTAACATTTTTATTAATGACTTGGAAGAAAACAAAATCACTGAAAAAGTTTGCGGATGACACAAAAATCAGAGGAGTGGTAAATAATGAAGGAAACTGGTCACTAATACAGTTTGATCTGGATCACTTGGTAAGATGGGTGCAAGCAAACAATGTGTGTTTTAATATGGCTAAATGTAAATGTATACATGTAAGAACAAAGAATGTAGGCCAGACTTGTAGGATGAGGGATTCTATCCTGGGCAAGAGTGATTCTGAAAAAGATTTGGGGGTCGTGGTGGATAATTGGCTGAAAATGAGTTCCCAATCTGATGCTGTGGCCAAAAGGGCTAATCTAATCCTTGGCTGCATAAATAGGGGAATCTTGAATAAAAGAAGAGATGTTATTTTACATCTGTATTTGGCATTGGTGCAACTACTGTGGAATACTGTATTCAATTTTGCTGTTCACAATTCATGAAGGATGTTGATAAATTGGAGAGGGTTCAGAGAAGAGCCATGAGAATTGTTAAAGGATTAGAAAACATGCTTTATAGTGATACACTGAAGGAGCTCACTCTATTTATCTTAACAAAGAGGAGGTTCAGAAATGATTTCATTAGAGTCAATAAATACCTACCTGGGGGAACAAATATTTAATAATGGACTCTTCAATCTAGCAGAGAAAGCTATAACATGATCCAATAGCTGGAAGTTGAAGCAAGACAAATTCAGATTGGAAATAAGTCATAAATTTTTAATAGTGAGAGTCATTAAACTTTGGAACAACTTAACAAGGGTCATGGTGGATTCTCCATCACTGACAATTTCTAAATCGAGATTGGATGTTTTTCTAAGAGATATGATCTAAAAACTATTTTGGAGAAGTCTATGGTCTGTTATGTCGGAGGTAAGACTAGATGATCACTGGGGTGTCACAAGTACTGAGCAGGCAAAGCTGCAGGGCCTTACTCCTGACAAAAGGTCTCTTCTGACCTTGGAATCTATGAATCCATGAACACTAACTGCCAAAGCTGACAACAGAAGCTGAAAGTGGCAAACTTTATTTAATCTGTGCTAATGAAAGCCAGAAGCTTGAGTTTCCAAAAGCCCTAGACAGTATATTATTAGCTCTTCAAAGTCTTTTACTGTGTGTTTGTACAACATCTAAAACAAGGGGGCCCCAACCCTACCTCCTGGGGGTTATTGGTGCTACCATAATACAAATGCTGAATAATTATATTTGCCCATAGCCCAGATGTCCTGCCACATGGTGATCCTGAGCAACCTGTTCCCTAAATCAGCAGAGAGCAGCTGGCTGATACATGAACACTACAAGTGCAACAGGCTTTATCTTGTATTTGTCTGTGAAACACCATACACATTTTATAATACTATTAATAATGATATGAGCCATTCAGATGACAGGGACTGTGCCATCACAATAAAGGAAGGGGAAGGGGAAGGGGGACAGGTAATCAGAAGACACATGGTAAAATAATTAAGTACAGTCCTTCACTTCTAATATTCAGGCTCCCATGGCTCTCTAGAGCAAGCAGAAGATTTCCATCTCCTGGTTCTCTCCTTGTCTGTCACTGTGCTGTCTTTTGTGGGATTTGTCAACACAATACACAGAGGAACCTAATTACCCCCACAATGGTCGGTATGTCTGCAGCATCCCAGCTTCACACTGAGTGTTTCTTTAAAGAAACACTGACCACCTTCTACTGGCACACTTTCAGACACTCTTAATCAAAGTGTGCTGTTGATTAACTCTCATTTGCAACTAACGTGTATGAATTGGCAGATTCCGCATTCTGACCCTGGTAGTGCTTTACAGATGCCCCCTCTCTCTGCACAACACCCTCACTCCAAAACACACACATCTGGGGCCCAGTCCAACTCCTTGTGGATTCAGCGGGCATATTTCTGTTGACTTAAGTGGGAGAGGGATTGGGCCTTTGGTCCTTATCACCACACCATGACCAGAACTGCTTTCACTCCCTGTTCACGGGAGTCTTGTCTACAGTAGCTATCTCACCATTGCTATCACTTGGGTCCCTCTGGTGGTAGGAGCACTAGCATTTTAACCCCTTATTGTCCAGTCCTCCTCTGACCAGGGTTCGATTGCACAGGAGTCAAAAATACCTATGGGAGCACTACAATTGCACAACACCTTGCTTCAAGGGATAGTAATTTGCTGCTGTACTATACTTAATTACTACCCTTCCACTCCTCATGCAGACTCAGTTCTGCTCTATTCATTCCTCTCGCCCG